TGTGTGTGTGTGTGTGTGTGTGTGTGTGTGTGTGTGTGTGTGTGTGTCCAGCATCCTGAGAACAAACTGCAGCAAGCAAGGCAAACAAACCAGCAAGCCTAGCTCTCTTCTGTCCAACGCAAACATAACGCAAGCCATGTTTTAAAAAAAAAAAATTTTAATGGCCCCATTAAAAAAGCAAAAATGTAGCCAGGCAGTGGAGGCACACATCTTTAATTCCAACACTCTGGAGGCAGAGGCAGGCAGATCTCTGAGTTCGAGGCCAGCCTACAGAGTGAGCTGCAGGATAGCCAAGGTTACACAGAGAAACCCTGTCTCGAAAATCAAACAACAAAGTAAAAACGTTATCTACACTCGAATGTTCTATGTGACCAATTGAGCTGTGCTCATACTGACCGAGTTGAGCATGGTCACTCACACAAGTAACTACAGCACTTGGGAGCCTGAGACAGGAGGCTTGCTTTGAGTTTAAAGTCAGTCAAGGCTACATAGTGAGATCCTGCCTGAAGATACCAATAAAAAGAACCTTGATATGTATCTTAACTTTTAACCATTTCTTTTGTATGAGATGAGTGTGTGTGTGTTACAAACATGCCATAGCATGTATGTGGAAGTCAAAAGACAACTTATGAGTGTCTGTTCTCCCTTTCCACCACGTAGGTCCCACGGATCCAACTCAGGTCATCAAGCTTGGCAGGAGCCATCTCACCAGACTGTGATATACATGAGGTAACTGTGGTAGACAGTGAGGGCCAGCCTGTACCTCAGAAGGCTACTGTAAACACTGAGGTGAAATGCTGAATTGACTCAGCACAGTGTGCTACAGTCTGTACAAGCACCACTGTAAGCACCACGTGAACATTACACCTGTGAGTGTGATGGCGGGAGCAGCCTCCCCAGCACAGGATCCAGCACCTGGGAAATGAACGGGGCCTACTGGAGAGATACTGATGAATGACGGACACTATGCTATGTCCTCCTGGCCTTTGGCTAAGATCAGGTACAAATAGGGTTGAGGAAACTGTCTCAGTTTCGAGGTCCAGAAAGATAAAGCAATTGCTACAGAACCCCAGGTCAGTCAGTGGTGACCAGCTTAGGAGTCAGTCTCTTAGGAGCCTAGGAATTCACTGCTGGAGAAAAGTCACCTGGCCAGCTCTGATCCATCGCCCAGAAATTCTTTCTGCTCTCCTGGCTACTTGACTTCTTTCCAGCACATTCTTTCCTGTCTTCCTGAATTCCCAATAAGCTCTTCCCTGTCCTTGCACCTTCTGTTGACTCCCAACTCCTCTCTGTTCTGTCCCTGCTTCCGATGTACTTAACCCAGCCCCAACCTGTCTCACTGATGGTTTGGTTAAGAAAGCCCAGTCCCCTAAGTTCCAGTCCATTTTGTCTGGCACCGCCCCCCCCCCCCCCCCTTCCCACCCTTTTTTCTCCCCCCCCCCCCCCCCCCCCAGGTTTACCTTCTGTTCTACCAGGCCCCTCTCAGGATCTGCCGGGAGAGCTTTATCCAGGAGTCTAGAACCCTGAACTTTATCCACACCCTGCAGAGGGATCACGCATCAGTGGTAGGGAAAGGGAACAAAATGCAGTCCCCATGGCCCCTGGGTCCCTCCCAGAATGCAGTCCCCATGGCCCCTGGGTCCCTCCCAGAATGCAGTCCCCATGGCCCCTGGGTCCCTCCCAGAATGCAGTCCCCATGGCCCCTGGGTCCCTCCCAGAATGCAGGCCCCTGGCCCCTGGGTCCCTCCCAGAATGCAGGCCCCTGGCCCCTGGGTCCCTCCCTAGGCTCCCTCCTTCAGGGAAGTATTCTCAGCTTCAGAACTTGCAGTCCGTGGACCGCAGGGGACAGCTGTTCAGCTTCTCGCTGGGATTAGGGTATGTGGCACTCTCTCACGTGGTGTGAGCCAGAGTGCTGGAGTCCCAGGCTACAGGGCAGAAGGCTAGGAGAAAGGGAAAGAGAGAGGGAGACCCTTCTGGTGAGGCTGACGGGGTCTTACCTTCAGGTGCACGTAGTCATACTCCTCAGCCATCGGGATGCCTTCATACTCATTGTGAGGGTCTGACGAATCACCGTCTACCTCCCTGCACTCTGGATCTCCCTCTGGTCTGAGGCCCCCATAACCAGGCAGGCAGGGTGGGGGAGGGGGCAGAGGCCTGTCCTGGATACTGCCCTTCCGGCCTGGGGCAGGTGAAGGAGCCGGAGAAGGAGTAGGAGCCTCGGAGACAGGCAGGGCAGGCAGAGGGCGCCGAGACAGGCTCTCCGTGGAGGGCAGCCTGGGCCTGTGTTGGGGTGGAGGGCTTCTGGTCAGAAGCTGGGCCACAGTGTCCAGGTCGGTGGAGCCAGAAGCCCCTGGGGGCTCCGGAGATGGGGACTCTGGCCCCAGCAGAGGCACATCATAGATGCCTTCGTCCGCGTCCCTGTGTTCGCCGTTTGCCAGTAGTTCCTCAGGTGCCTCGTACAAGTTGAGCAGAGCCGAGGCCCGTTTCAGGTTGGAAGGGGCAGCATAGAGGGGAGGCCCTGGTTCCCGGCCCCCTTCCCACTCCAGATCTGGCTCCATCTCTGCAGGTGGCTTCAAGGCCAGAGGCACGTCGTAGGGAGCTTCATCCTCTCCAGGGGGCTGTGGGACAACCGGGGCCAGAGGACAGGAGAAGGAAGCCGGGGAGTCATAGGGACAGCTGGAGGGAGCCCGGAGGATGTTGGGAGGCACATCGTAGACCTGGAGGGAGGGAACAGTGTTAGCCTTCGGTCTTGAGGTAGACCACCCCTGGGAATTCTGGCCCTCACCCAACATACACAGAGCTCTCACCTCTGACGCATCTCTGGAGGCAGTCAGCTGTGTGCCATTGACTCTGGGGACCTTGTAGATGGAGTCAGGAGAGGGTGAGCAGGATCTAGTGGGAGGCCCTGAGGCAGGGCAGGGTCGAGCTGGTGGTGGTACCACATACACCTAGGGAATGAAGAGCCGGGTGTGTTAAGAGTGGAAGTCACTGGAGCAGATGTAAAACTTCAGGAGTTTATAGACTTTCTAGCCTCCTCCCTCCACACTCCCTGCGCTAACTTAGAAGGAGGTGGCAGACAGACATCAGCCAGTGAGAGGTCAATTCAGTCAGGATCTCCCTGTAAGCCTATCCCAGGCCCCTGGACTGGACAAAGACTGCCAGGCCCGGGATGAGAGGCTCCAGTTCTTACCTCCTGTTCCTCATTGCCATGCTCTGGGGTGGGACCCGATGAGCTGGGTTGAGCGGGAGGTGCTGGGGAGAGGCCTGGCTTGGGTGCTGGCCCAGCAGGAAGAAGCTTCACTCTGTTGGCGGGCACAATGCCCTGCTGGCCATGCAGGGAGCAAAGGCACCAGCCATCTAGTCCGCCAGCGCCCTCCCTCTGCAGGACCCGCAGAACATCCCCTCGGCGGAAAGACAGCTCCTGGGGGGACTCGGCAGTGTTGTCGTACAGTGCCCGGGCAAGCTGGGCCTGGAGGGGGAGGTCAGGGGAGAGAGTTCTCACACACACAGTCGGGTCACACAGAAACTAGACCAGCCTCCCCTTCCATTCAAGTTAAAACAACAACAAACAAAAACCAAACAACAACAACCCCCCCACCCCGCTCCTGATTAGGTTCTGCCTCATCAGCATCATGGCAGACACAATGCCTTCCCTTCTCATTCTTCGACCTAGCTCTTTTCCATCTTAGTGCCTTTGCACTGGTATTTCCTCTACTCCATTTCCTGACTCCATCTGATCCTTTTGCATCCCTCAGTTCTAAGACAATGTCTCCGCAAGAGCCTTTTCTTTATTCTCTTCCCCACCTCGTTCTGCATCGGTATCCACCCTGTTCCTCCAAAACACTATGACTTAGGTTTTGTGATTATCAAGTTCTGCTGCCACACTATAAACCCTGTAAGAACGGGAGCAACAGGGTCCCTCCCAGAACATACATCTGTTCAATGAATTTCCTCAAAGCACACGGCGAGGTCTTGCTAGGCTCTCGCACAGAATCTCTTGTGATTCTCTGTCCTCCACTGAACCCCGCCTCCCAACAAGTAAAAGGTTAGATCAAGCAACTGCAGAGACCCATCATTCTGAGCGGGCCTGGAAGATGCCTTCTTTAGACCGAGTGTTAACACACACTTGAGAGAGAGAACAAACAGAAGCCACGCTCCGTCTCCTGGCCTGACAGCTCTACCCAAAGAGGCTGAGGAAGCACGGAGAGGAGACATGCGTCCCGAGCAGAGCGGAGAGAGGCGGCTCATGCTTGTCACCCCAGCAGCTGGGAGAGCTGACGCAGGAGAACTGCTCTGAAGGCTTGAAGCCAGCCTGGGCTGCAGCGTGGAGACTACTTCCAGGCCCGCCTGGGCGGGAACCTAAGCTTTTCCTATTGAGGGCCTGAACTCGGGTACTGAGCCACAAACACAGTGTCTGGAGACTTTTCGGTGTTTACACCAAATATAATTCTCATAATCTCCATTTTAGAAGGAAAAGTGGACACAGGTTTAGTTGGCTTGGACCGGAGGCACATGGCAGATGCTGCGGGCTGAGCAAGGTTTGATGTCATGGCCTGTACTCTCTCTAGAGCGCCCTCTATTGTCCTTCTACAACCAGTGTGATCTTCTCTTCACACGTGTGGAACTCAGAGGCTAACTTGCAGGAGTGGGTTCTCTCCTTCCACCATGTTCTGGGGATTGAACTTGGGTCGTCAGGCTTGGCAACAAGCACTTTTACCTATGAAGCCACCTCACTAGCTCTTCCTTTCTCTTTTTCGTTTAAACTTTAGTTTATTAGTACAGCAGTAGAGACGGCCAGCGACTCCAAGGCGAGTGAGGTGTTTATATAATACAGCCCATCAGGTCTAACGTTCCTTAGTGCTCGTGTTCCATAATGTCTTTTGGAAGAATCAAACTTACTCCACTCGGAGGATCAGAGCACATTCTGCTTTAGCTGTGATTGCTAAATGACTGCCTGCCAGTAGGCTCCCAGGCAGCTGGGGCTCACCCAGAAACACTGGAGGACAGCCAGTTAGACCCTGCTGGCCAGGTAGCCATGTCTAATTCAGTCACAAGTCTCCAGTCAGGGGCTGAACACATGGCTTCGCAGTCAGACGTGGATACTATTCTTCCAGGGGACCCAAGTTTTGGTTCTCGGCAGCCATATCGCATGACTCACGACTTCCTGTAACTCTTGCTCCAGGGGGTCCAATACCTCTGGCCTCCATGAGCACCTACACTCGGGTGTACAGACGCACACACAGACACACGCATATACTTAATTAAACTAAACAAGATAAAGTATTTAGTTAAACTGAGTCTGGTGTATAATCTCAGCCTTTTGGGGAGGCTGGAGCAGGAGGATCAGAATTTTGAGGGCAAGCCTGGGGAACTTAGTGAGATCCCATCTCAAAATGGGAAATGAAAAGGCTGGGGGACTGAGGATATACCTCAATTGGTGCAGTAGTTACCTTGGCATCCAAAAGGCCCTGGAGTCCACCTTATAGACACTGTGATTACTATGGCACACACCTGTTACTCCTACACTTGGGAAGTGAAGGCAGGAGGATCAGGGTTAGGCCAGTCTGAGCTACAATACTTTGCCTCAAAAAAACAAAAACCAAACCAAACCAAACCAAACCAAACCAAACCCCAACCAACCAACCCAAAAACAAAAACAAACAAACAAACAAAAAAACCAAAAACAACAACAACAAAACAAAAACAAAAAACAAACCAAAATGCTATCTTGAGTATGGAGCTCAGGGATAGAACCCTTGCCTAGGACATTTGTGGCGCTGGTTCAACCTTTAGTACTACAAAAAAATCATCGTCACCACCACCATCAAACGAACAAAGAAATCTCCAGCTACGGCAGGATGTGACCGGACCACAGGGGAGAAGGATGCTCGGCTCGCTCACAGATGTGCTGTGCTGTTCCTCTGCGACCCTGCTCTGTGCTAGGAGGCAGGGTGTCCAGTCCTTGTGCTCGCAAACAACCATCCACCCTTCCTACCTCAAGATGCCAGGAAAATGTCTACCACTAAGCTAATGCCTGGCCCTTACTACACTACTTCTGATTATACTGTGCCTCCTAAAAGATACTGTCTACAAAAAGGAAAGTACGCTGAACAGATAACACAGATTGCTGCTTGGCTCTGCCCTCTCCCACCTTCGTGTGGTGTGTGTGCGTGTGTGTGTGTGTGTGCACTCTCGTGTGTGTGCACGTGTGCAAGTGCGCACATTCGTGTGGGGGCCAGGGGTTGATGATGGTATCTTCTCTAATCATGCTCCACCTTATTCTATTTTTGAGAGAACCTGAACCTTAAACTCACCGATTCAGCTACACTAGCTGGTCAATAGCCTCTGGAATCCTCTTGTTTCTGCCTCCCCACACAGCTTTTTATGTGCACGCTGGGGATCAAACTCAGACCCTTACTTTACACAGCAAGCACTTTACCACAGAGCCATGTCCCCAGCTGCGTCTTACACCCTTCCTCCTAATTGAAAACTAGAAATTGGGATTTTGGATCTAGCCAGGGATCAAAGTCAAAGTCCAAAGTGCAGGTGGGCTTGGGGGTGAGTCTCTTTCTTGCTGGGATGAATTTAAGGTGGGCTTAAGTATCCCTGTACTGTAGTGTCCTCCTTTGTGGGAGTTCCTATCTATAGCCAAATACCTATTTTTGGATGACAACATGTGCTCATAAAGTTGAGAGCTGCACGAAGCAATGCATCAAAAGAGCATGACAAAGTTTAGCACAGGGCCAGGTGTGTAAAGTAAATTATAAATATTACTATTGTTATGATCCTGTGAGTTTCATTAGCGTGAACACCCTTCCCTCATCTACCGTCTGGACCTCAAAAGTGACAGTTACCTCCAGGATCCTGGCATTCCCAAAGGCACCCTGCCACCAGAGGACTAAAAGGTTGTGTCTAAGGAATTAAAACTGGACCCATCCTCAGGAGGGTATCCTGCGGCTCTATGCTTTTCTTTTACTTTTATAATTTTTCTTCCCATAGCCAGAATTCGGGAGAGGAGGTGGCAGCCTGGCTTTCCCCGGGAATGTCCAGCGAAGGCTAGAGAGAAGCATGAGAAGGATTGGATTTCTTCTACAGATTGCAAGACAGAAAACAGAGGTGGGGTTGGATGGCTCCTCCCTGTTCTAGGTTTGAATTCTATCCAATGGGGCCATGCTTTGCGTTTGCCTAAACCCAGGCCCAGAGCTGCTGAAAGAATGATGGATGATGGGTGTGATCACCCCTGCTCTAGCCACAGCTGACTTGTGAGGCAATGGCTGGCTTGTCTGGGGTGGCAGTGTGCCGCTGCACTTTCTGGTAGGCCTCCTCCTGCGATCCCAACGTGTCAAGTGTCCCTTCCTTTTGTCCCCAGTCACTAAAAAGTGGCCGGAGGCAGACCGACATCATCTCCCACTCCTCTATAGTCTTTTCCCTTGCCTGTTCTCGAGCCTCTTCGCATTTTCTCCATTTTTCCCCAACCCTCTAGAGTTAGGCTTCCTCGGCCTTCCATTTTTCTTGGGCTGCCTGGTCTTTGCCAAAAAGCTCTTTTTACTTACTTCCCAATTACAAGCTCCTGCCAACCACCAGTGGCCATCTGTTCCCACCCAGAAAAGAGCAGATAGGATGGGGTTACACTCCCCCCTCTTCCCCTCCAGCTATCCAAGCAGCCACTATAAAGAAAGAGAATAGGGAGAGGGGAGGAGGGGCCAACCCAGAACCCAGAAGGCACAGGGGACAGGAGACGGAGAAAGAAAACAAAAGAGAGCCGGACAGCTTCTGGGAGAGGGGATCACAAAGAGTGGATAGAAACAAACGCGACAGTGCCATAGAGCAGGTTGGAGGTCTCTGCCTGGCAAGCCTCCTTTCCCTGCTGGACTCACCGACGTGGCAATGGCCATGGCTCTGGCCTCCAGCGAGCGTCGCCTGCTTCAGGCCAGGCTCAGTTTTCGCTGACTTCAGCGACGGCTGCCCCACACCATGGTTCCCGGCCTCCAAGCCAGAAGGTCACCCCAAGCCGTGGCGCTTGAGGAGATGCCTCCCCCAAAGTTGGAGGAGGAGAAAGAAAACCCACAAAACTTTCCAAATGGGAGGCAGCTTGGCCAGGCAGGAGGAGTGAGGCGGGCTTGGGCGTCGCTGCGGGACCTCATCCAAGGGGCGCGCTCTAAACTGTCCCCAGGGTCCACTAGGCCCCCACAACTGCTGCTTTAGGCTGGAGGGGCCTCCTGGACACGCATGAGCCCAAAGCTCACGTCCCGGGAGAAGAAGCAGGAACTGTGGCTGTTTTCGACACCTCTCCAGGCAGCTCAGGCTAGCCCCGAGGGTTGGGAGAAGCAGCCGGAGTGGTTGGGCTGGATGAGCAACTCCAGGGACCAACCCTCCCCCATCTACGCAGAGCGGTGCTCCCAGGGCTGTGGTCGTGGCTGCGGGGGCACTGCGGCGGGACCCGCGGGGAAGGAGGAGGAGCGAGAGCTGGGCTGCGTGTCTCCCAGCTCCCTCAAGTCAGCACCAAAGGCCTAAGAGCGCGTGGCGGTGGAGCTGGGCTCTGTGCCCAGGCCCTCGCCGAGGCCGGCTCTCCCCGCCACACTCGTTCTCGGCACTGCCGGGCCTTCGAGGTGGCCGCCAGGCACCTCTCAGTCCCAGCGCCCAAGGGGGCGCTCCACCCTGTGCCCCAGGCGCCCCGCGGGCCCCGGGCCCCGCTCGCACACCCTGGACCGGGCCCTTGGCGCGCCCCGAAGCTTAGGGGAGCTCCAGGTGTCTTAGGGGAACGAAGAAAAAGGCCACAGAGCTAAGGGAGCAGAGGGGGGGAGGAGCGGTCCCGTGGGCCCGTCTGGGGTCGAGGCGGGGACACTGAGGGCTAGGAAAGGTCTGGGTCGCGCGTGGCCCCCGCTCGCCCCTCGCGTGCCGCGCCCCTTCCCTCCCTTGGCCGGGCTCCGGCCCTCCTCGGCAGGCTCTCTCCCCTCCCAGCTCCGGCCCACTCCTCTCGCGAGGGGTCAGTCCAGGGGATTAAGAGGAGAGGAGGAAGGGGGAAGGGGAAGCGGCGGAGAAAGGGGGACGATCCTTTCCGAGGAGGTGTTGGGTTTCAGCTCCCGACCCTCGGGCCGAACTGCGGCGCCCCAGCCCGGCCCCTCTCCCCGGCACCTTCTTCCTCGGGACCGCGCGGCAGGCCGGCGGGTGGTCGGGTCTGCGCGCTCGGGGGAGCTCGGCTCTGCCCGCCACGCCCCCGCTCTCCCCCGCCGGCCCCACGCCTCTCCCTGCCTCCCTTTCATTAGCCCCACATCTGTCTTTCCCGAGGGAGGGGAACGCGCTGCTTCCGCCGCGCTGGGGTCCCGGCGGTTTCGCCGTGATGACTTTGCAGGGGGCGGCGGGAGGGAGCCGGCGAGATCCGAAGGGCACGGGCCTGGGGTCTGGTGTTGAACAAAGGTCCTGGCCCTCGAGAGGGAGAGTGAAGCCCGGGCATCTGGCTCCGGATCCTAGGCTGGCCGGTTGCGCCGCCTTTTAGCCTCCTTTGCCAGTCTGAGCCTGTTTGTCTTCTTCAGCTTGGCCCTCGCTGCTACTGGAGCAGTTGGAAGGGAGACCATGGGCAGAAGAGGACAGAACCCTTTCGGAGGGGCTGAAATCAGGAGTTTCGGCTGCACCCGAGTTCGCTGCCTTCTGTACCCCTCCCTGCCGGCCTTCCTCCAGTCACCTCCCTTCGCTGGCTCTTTGAGAAGATATACAACCGAGAGAGCTTCTCAGAGGGTTGGGGAAGACCTGTCTTCTTCCATGGGGGGAGGGAAGGCGCTGGTATTTAGAAAACAGAGCTAAAGTAAACAAGCTGTAGTGTTTTTCTAGTGTTTATGTTTAACAAATGAACACTTAAAGCACGTAATAGGCAACCAGCTTAGTCGAAACATCTCTGGGAGAGAACATCTGAAATCTTGTTTAAGGGCCTTTGAGAACTGGAGGCTTGGAGACCCGTCTTGCTCCAACAGGCACATCCCAGGACCACCTGTGGGGAAAGCGTTTGCCCCAGCCCCTCCCCCACCTTACCGCTTGGTCACCTAGAACCCTCAGCAGGAGAAGAGTGGCTCAGTGAGTTTCTCAGTGTTCACAGGAGGAAAGGTGCTGGCTCTGGCCTTGGCTGTCGTTCTGGAGTGAAGACCTTACGCCCTGGCCGGAAATCTAGACCATACTCAGACTCCATTAGAACAAAAGGGAACCAGATACATATGAAGTGAGACTTCTGTTCCAGTTCCAGTTTGGCTGGACATGGTCACGAGGGGAGACATTCTTCCAGATCCCAGTCCTGGGGGAGAGGATCTGGCCTCCTTGACACTGCTGAAGAGTGAGTGGGTATGACCTCAACCGAGGGTCATTAGCGCAAAGCAAAGGTGGGCAGGACGCTCTGGTCCCCAAACATAAGTGCTCCGGTGGACACAGAGAAGTAGATGCAGGCCAGAAGAAGCTTGGCAGAAAGAATGTGAAAGGCCCAGGTTAGGGAGTAGTTTGAGAGACGGGTGGGGAATTGCAGAGCCTGAGGAATGAAGTTAGGGGGCAGCTTCTCTCTTGGGAGTGCATCCTGGCTTATTAGCTAGGTTGCCTTGGTCAACTCATAGATCCTCTTGCAGTTTTAATTCCCCTTGTGTAGCAGCTGCTTTGGTGGAAAGTGCCTAGCACATTACTTTTCTTCCTTTTGACAACGTAGTCAGTTGTCAAACTAAAACAGGATGTTCCTGGCTGGGGAGTGGGGGCCTCCCCTGCATCCTTACACCCTCTGTCCTCTCCTTTAAGGTTGTAGGCACTCAGCTATTCAAACGAGGACTTCTAGCCTCCGGGTGCAGTCGGAGAACACTCTGGCCAGGAAGGGGTGAGAGCAGCCTCACGTGATTTTGAGCCAAGGTTTGCCCTTGCTGCCTTCAAAGAGTAACAAAGAGGGAAGGCACTCTCTTTTGCTTTCCCAGGCCTCACTCTTCTCTTCTACTCTTTCCTCCTCCTAGCAGGGCCCAGCCATCTTCTTCCTCACCTTCCCAGATGTTCCACCCCATTCCATCCCGCTCTCCCCTCCATCCCTGCTTTCCCACTCACTATTTGCTTCTGAAATGCGTCAAACCTTTCCCCTCCCCCGGGGCGGGGCTGTGGTTAGGCCCCCCTCCCTGCAGACCCTTCCCATCATCACACCCAGAAGGCCTTCCCAGTTAGAGCTGCCAACCTCTCCCCACCTCCACAGCAACTCTGTGGCCTATGTCGTGGCCGAGGTTCATTTTCTTCATTGCACTTTCCATTGTCATCCGAAAGCATCTTTCTCATTACTTATCATCTGTCTCCTGAACTGCAAGCCCCAGAGGGGAGCGGCATCATCTGTTTCTCTTCCTCCTCACTCCTAGTGATACACAACGTCAGTGTCTGGTGTAGTAGGTGCTCAATAAATATTTGGTGGGTGGATGAACGAACATAGCTATGAATATAGGGCAAAATTGAGTTAGCTTTGGAAAGGCGCCATCCCTGAGTCCTTGCACCCTTCATCTGCTAACTCCATGTGTTTCCCAGAGCAAAATAGGGTCCTCCTTGGAGGTCGTCTCCTGAGCTTAATTATTCTGTGCTTAACAAATGCATTAAAAATAATTAGCGGGCTGGAGAGATGGCTCAGTGGTTAAGAGCACATACTGCTCTTCTTGAGGACCTGAGTTCAGTTCCCAGCACTCACATCAGGTGGTTTACAACTGTCTGTAACCCCAGGTCCAGGGGGAGCTCACAGCTCTGACCTCTATGGCCACTTGCAGTCATGTGCACGGCCCTTCCTCCCCCCACTGCATACACATAATTAAAATAATAAAAATAAATTAGAAAAATAATTTGCTGGGGCTGGAGAGATGTCTCAGTGTCCACAGGCACTGGTGCTCTTCCAGAGGACCCAGGTTCAATTCCCAGCACTCACATGGCAGCTCACAACCATCTGTAACTCCAGTTCTGGGAGATCTGACACCTTTGCACAGACACACATGTGGGCAAAACACCAATGCACAGAAAAAAAAAAAATAGCACCTACAAGTCAGGATGTGGAAATACTATTCTAGAGGTCTCCGTCTTTGCCATTGCTGGGTGTCTCAGAAGAGTGTGATGAGGACGCCCCATTGCCAAGAGCATCATCTACTTATCAGCAGGTGCATGACATTTCAGTATTTTAATAACCCGTGTCCTGGCTTCTTACAAGGTGAATAGAAACAAACTCCATCCCCTGGATGTCACACCGTTTTAGGACCTTAGGTCCAGGGCAGCTAACCTTGTCACGTTTAAGGTCACTCACCCCAGGGACACATACACTCTATCACATACACTCCTACCAACGAGGAAGCAGGAGCAGAAGGCGCATCCGAGGTCAAGGCGGCAGTGAGGCTTGAGTACCCTTTTGATAAGTTGTATTCGGACCCCAAGCCCCAAGAGTTTTTCTGAGCATCACTTTTCCCTGCCCTTTCCCCGCAGGTACTGACCTCTTTCCCAGGGGCACAGGGGTAGGAACCCCAGCCCTGTTGGCTGCCAGGCAAGTAGGGACGTGTTGGGAGGGTACTCTTGATGTCAGATGTTGGGCCAACCTGTCTGTGCTCCTGCCTCCAGCATTCTCCCCATTGCCACCCCCACACCCCCCAAGGATTCCCTGGAAGCTGAAGTGACTCAGGGATTCCTAAACTAGTCACCCCAGGAGGAAACCCTCTGGAAAATGTTTCTCATGGCAGGGAGTCACCCTAAAGAGTCCCACAAAGCTCCTACTGAGATAAGGACAGAGGCTGAGCAAGCAGGGTGGGGTGGGGGCCTGCGGCTCAGACTCGGTTCATGGGTCAGCCTGGTCAGTATGGAGAGAGCCAACCCCCGGGGAAGACTGTGTAATCGGAGGGATATTCCATCCTCCTTCCGGAGGCTTCCTCTGGCCTGAGGCACAGAGGCAGAGAGAGACCCCAAATGCCTCTCGTGAGGAACAGTGTCCCAGTCTCCCTGGCCAGTTCCATTCTGCCGTGTCAGCATTTGAAGAAGCTGAGATCATTTTCTGTGCCTAAGAGCACCCCCTTCTGCACTGGCCAAGGTCAGCTTCCTCGGGTCGTGAGTAGGGCAGACCTGTAGGAATCCTGCTCTTTGAAACAGCACTGCTAGCTAAAGGTCCCTGTTCTGGGGTTGCCAAGGAACACCACAAGCCACCTGAGGCCTTGTGCCAGACAAAAGGCTGGGGAACAGGAAGCTGGAACAGTGGACCCAGCCAGCAGGGCAGAATGCCAAAGTGGGCAGAAATGCCCTGTGGTCTTGGGCAAGTGCAACTGAAGCAAGTCCAGGTGAACAGGAGCATAGTCACGGTGGAAGCTGCCCTCCGACCCACAGCCAGCTGAGGACTGGTTCACGCTAGGAGCTTAGGTTTGGAGTTATTGGGCGCTGGAATGGAAAACCAGCACAGACTCTAACTTCGTAACCTTGAGTAGATTATTACATTTGGTTGGCTCTTTTTTTCCTCATCTGTAATATGAGGGTGATGGTTTTCATGTCATGGTTTTATTGTCAGGCTAGAATAAGATGATGTGTCTAGGGTTCAGCACCGTGTCTGGGACCCCCAAGTGAATACGGCAGCAAGACCAGCAGTGCATAAAGGGAGATGCTATCTAGGAGCTCTAGGAGCTCTAGGAGCACCGGGGCAAGGGTGGGAGTACCGTGGCCTTACTATTCTTCCCAAGTGTTCTAACACTGGTCCCCAACGGTTTTTCCCCAATGCTTCTCTGTTCCAAGCCCCTAAGATCCTCCAAAGCAGTTTCTCCCAACTTTTGAGAATGTCTTCTGTTGTCATGATGCCTCTCCTTCTGCTTCATCCTACAGCATCTGAAAGAAGTGGTCCTCCGTGGGATGCATTATTCCTGCTTCCCTTTGTTTACTTTCTGATCCCTTGGTTACTTCAGGAGTATTTTCTGAGGGAAAGCACATGCAAATCAGCACATATCATTGTAGAGACAGTGTGTATGAGTGTATTGAGGTGGGGCTGACGGTCCCTGGGCAAATAGAGGAAGGCCTGGAGGAAGAGTCCAGGCCAGTCTCTTCACGGTCTTCCCCAGCAGGCTGGACCCTGACTGGCCTGTGTCTTTGGAATCTGTCTTTCCATAGCATACATGGTCCCCCCTGGCCAATAGGGTTCCATGAGAGTGCAGAGGTTGAGTGAAATCCCTGTAGGCCGAGAGTGGCAGCTGCCCTTTCTTGGGTCCCTGGGGGCCTGTGACCAGGGGTGAGACCTGCTGCTGGGTCTTAGGTGGCACAGTGTTCTTCTCTCTTCCATGCTCCACTTTCTGGTTCGTGTAACTCGGACAGTGAGCCAAGCGTCTTCTATCAGTCTTGCCCACCCAAGCAGAAAACCCCTGCAGTCATGTGTCCTTCCGTCCAGTGAGAGCTGCAGCCTTACCCCAGGAAGAAGCCAGGGATGTCCAGGGGCAGGGATAGGAACAGATTAGCAAAGAGAAGGCCAAGGGAAACTGGGGGGGCAATCATGGACAGTGAATGAGAAGTCATGCTCACATACTATGGTCTTCAAGAGCTGGGGCCTAAAAATGAGTAGGGGCCAGAGAACAAAGGGCATGGAGGCCCAGAGGAGATGAAGAGGAGGGAAGCGTTCATGCAGACAGGGGGTTGGAGACATCTAACAAGAAGAGACAGTTGGAGGTCAGGTCCTAGGCAGGAGGAGCAGAAGTCTTGAAAAGGGTGCCCCTGGAAAGGAGACCACACAGTGTTCTTTAATTTGAGGTAGCAAACACCAGGGGAGTTCCCGTCGTGCCAGTTCACAGGACGGAGGCAGAACTGCAGACTGCTATTACTACCTACGACCCCCGCCCGGAAAATGCAGGTAGCAAAGTTTACTCAATCAGCTGCCAGGCTGATAATGATGGCCATCACACCTTCCATGAGGGTAGCATTTAAACAGCTTTTGGGAACACTTCCAGGCTTGTTATTGTTTTGGTTTTTTTTTTCTTTTGGTTTTCTTTTTCTTTTTTTTTTTTTCCTTTTTTTTTTTTTTAATCTCTGGTCACTCCCTCTAAAAGATAGTGGAAATAAATTTGAATAAGCAAAACAGGTTTGCTGAAAATAAAACCAGGGCACCTCAGCTAGTCCAGTCAGCCTGCTTCCAGAAGGCCTGTCAGGCACGGTAGTACCTGTGGCTGAGAGACCAGTGTCCAGCATGTATCGGGTGAGTAGCCCTGCTGTCTGGCAGAGGACTGGCTGAGGGACAGAGCAGCAGGTATTCTACTGGGTGTGTAGGGAGATGGAGGCTCCAGGCTTCTGGTCTCAGGGAGCTGCTGGGGGAAGCCCATACAGGATGGGGACCTGAGAGCCTTCTCACTGGCCTTTGTTTACAGGTTGTTGCCTTCTGGGCGATGATGGTGGGAGCCCACACCATGAGTTTGCGGATCCGGAGGGATTGCAGCCACTGGCCCAGCTGCTGCCCCAGCAGGGGACAAGTATTCCCTGAGGAGCAGCTGAACTGGGAAACTGTGTCTGTGCCTCCCCCAGAACTGCGGAGCCGCACCCATCCCCTAGAATCCTGCAGGGCCAGCAAGGACGGCCCCCTTCACCGCAGGTCCATCTCTCCCTGGAGCTATGAGTGAGTCTACTAGTCCACTCCACGAATGTATTCATGTGACCCCATTCATTCATTCATTCCTCCTTCCCTTCCTTCCTTTCTTCCTCCTGTCCTTCCTGACTCTAGATTATATTCCAGAGGCTAACATATAGGTCAAATGAAACAATGTATGTAAAACCTGTAATTTGTATTGGTTCTATTTCTCGCTTGGTTTCTACCATACTCATATTTTTCTAACCAAAGCGTCAAGCGGTAATATGTGATGCAGACACAAAGCACCACGGTGCCGAATGCTGTCACTCAACTCTTGTGGGGCAAGTGGTTGGCTAGACCCGCAGGCGTGTTACCTTTAGTCAAAACCATGGTTCTCTTAGTCTTTTACCCAGTTTGACACATAAACATTATATTTTTCCTGCTTATGTCGTGATATGCAGTTGGGACAGAGAAACAAAGTATTACAAGGTGGGGTCTTAGGGGTCCCCCCCCACGCCTGCAGTCCTGTACCTTCACAGGGTTTCATGCTCCCACCCCCCTGCACGTGGCTCGGTGGCTTAGCCTTGCCTTTGAGGGGTTATGGAGAGGTTCCTGGAATAGGGCTCTCACACCTTTAGCTGATAGCATGTCTAAGACACCACTGCATAATACTCTGGAGTAATCTCAGAGGCTGCTGGAAATCTGTTGGGGGCACAGGGGTCGTGGTGGGGCTCAGTTACACTCATCCTTTCTCTGAGAAGCAGTGAGAAGCCTGGCTAACCATCAGGCAAAACTTCTCCAGCATATGTTCCATGCAACACTTGTCCCACAAGCTGTTTCTCGGAAAAAAAAGTGATGGTGTCAGGTGAGTTTGGGAAAGGCCACACAGCCCTATCCCTTGGAGAACCACAGTGATCTCTATACATTATAGTTGGTAAGAAATCTACGAAAAGAAAACATTAGTTTTCCCAAACTCATTTGCTCACAGAAACTTTTTTTCCAAACAAACAAACAAATAAACAACAACAAAAACCCCAGGGTATCTATTAGGGAATCTACTTTGGGCAAAGCTTGCAGTAGCTAGCTGGACCCCGATTTCCCAGGCTTGTATGGGAGATGGCTTTACTGCACTGGGGCTTCCTGTCAGGCTACTGGATGCAATTTTTTTTTTTTTTTAAATCTTCTCTCCAGGAGTTGTGTTTTTTTTATTTTGTTTTGGTTTGTTTTTGTTTTTTTGGTTTTGGGTTTTTGTTGTTGTTGCCACAAATCTTTTCTGATTTGCTAAAAAGTCTTTCTGAAGCCCTACATGTGCTTGTAATACTTGCTTGGACAGGGAGGACAGAAAGTGCCTCACCCCCGGGGAGTAAGAGCAGCAAAAGGAGATACTTAGTGCTCGTTGTGTATTCTTTCATACCTGGCTGTGGGGCAGTTGGGTTTTCTTTGTTTGTTTGTTTGACACAGGGTCTCATCCAGCAGCCCCGCTGGCCTGAAAGTCACTATGTGGCACAAAGCAGCCTCAGCCTCATGGCGAGCTTTGCCTCTGTCTCTCAGGCGCCAGGGTCAAGAGGCGTGCACTTCCGTACCTGCCTCACACCGGTTTCCAGTTCTGTAATAATTGCGATTAAAAAACAAAACTCTGCAAAATGTACTACCTTGCTAAAGGAGCCTTATGCGTATCAGACAGATGCAGAGCTGGTCTCGTGGAGGCTGGCAGGAGGTTCCTTACCTTCCTCTGCTCTGCAAGAAGCTGTCATGGCTATGGCCTTGCATTCAGGGCCACTAGAAAGGGCACTCTTTTGTCCCCTACCTATACTTACAGCTGAAGAAAACACATTTCAGAGAGGAAGGGGGTGGCATTCAAAGTCACACAATATTGGATGCCAGAACACATTCAAAAAGGCGAGTCCACGGCCACTCTATCCCCTCCCTCCAGCCTCTGCACCCCATCTGCCCCTTGTTCCTCCAAGACTGATCAGCTTTGTCCCCACAGGCTGGACAGGGACTTGAACCGGGTCCCCCAGGATCTGTACCACGCTCGATGCCTGTGCCCACACTGCGTCAGCCTACAGACAGGCTCCCACATGGACCCACTGGGCAACTCAGTACCGCTGTACCACAACCAGACGGTCTTCTATCGGCGGCCGTGCCATGGCCAGCATGGTTCCCGTCATGGCTACTGCTTGGAGAGCAGGCTCTACCAAGTCTCCTTGGCTTGTGTGTGCGTGCGGCCCCGTGTCATGGCCTAGTCGTGCTTGCCACCTGTCTGAGGCTGGTCCCTTGTTGGGAAAATGGGCCTAAATGCCCGAGCCCTCCAAAGCCCTATGTGAAGCACCAGGATTGGAGACAAGATGGAGGACTTGGGGAGAAACTGTGACTTTTGCACTTTTTGAAAGCACTTTTGGGAAGGGGAAGTTTCAGCTTGCGCTGCTGGAAGATGCTGTCATGGCATTTTCTCTCGGGAACTGTCTCCAGAGGCTTGCCAAGCCCTGGAAGCCATACTCCCGGCTTCTCCTCTCCTCGGGATCCCCCTGTTCAGCACAGGCACTTTCTCCACAGTTCCCCATTTGCCCTTTTGTTTGTGAATACCAACTCTGCATGCAGCAAGTGTGATTACATTGACATGGTTAACAGGAGAAAGCTGTTATTGAACGTGGAGAGATTTATCCAAATAAACACCTGTATTTTAAAATGGTCTCCTTTGCCGTTGGCATCCATGGTATCTGAACATCCTGTGGTCCGCAACTGGATCCTTTCTCCTCTCTAGCACTTTCTCCACTCTGCAATTCTCCCTACTTCCCTGGGTGCCCATTGCACCCACCCATCCCCTGGTCCATCCCTGAACACAATGTGTGTGTAGGGGGTGTTAGACAGCTCAACATGGGGAGAGACAGAAGCCCATTGAGGCACTGCAGTAGACACACAGCGCCCCCTTGTCTCCCCAACAATCCTCCTTTGTCCACTGGTCCTGGCTGTTGCAGCTTGGTCCAGCAGGGCACTGCCTGGGCTGGGCTCCAGTTCCCACCTCCCTTAAAGGAAAAGGGAGAAAGGCCCAGCCAAAGAAGAGGGTTAAGGTTAGGGGAGGGGCCATAAACATCTTCAGGCTTTGGTTGCTGGGGAACCCCTTGCTCTGCCTCTGTCTCTCTCCTACCCCCCAACTCCTCTGGTTCCTTTCCCATCTCTTCCTTTCCCTGTTCCTTCCCTCCTTCTTCAGGTTGGGTTAGGCTGGAGGAAGAGGAGGGTTAACCTCTTCTCTCTCACCCCTCCCCATACTTCCTAGGGGCCCTTCGGGCGAGAACAGAGGCACTCTGGGCAGCTGGGTGAAGCCCATCTGGGCAAGCCTTCCCTGGGTACTGCCTCCTCCCAGAGTCCCACAGCAGGTCCCAGCTTCGCTTTCAGGCTCTTAAAGTGCCTTCTTGCTCTTTTCTGCTTCCATAACCAGATTTCTGTTTCCCTTCCTGGGCTGCTGAAAGGCTGGTGAGGGTGAGTCTGTGTCCCGTGAGCCTCACAGAGATGTTCAGTGCCTGGGATCGCCGGGAGCGGCCCCCAGAGGAAGGAGCAGCTGCAGAGCTCCAGGGCTTCGGAGTGGACAAGACTTTCCTGTCTTCCCTCAAAGGCATCCTGCTGGAAACTGAGCTGGTAACAGCTGCCTCCCCAACCTCGTGCCTCCACCTCTCCCACCCCAGCTCCCCGGCACAGCCCTGCACTGGCCTCCTGGGCTCACCATTTCACAGGCCCCCTCCCACGTTTTCTGTCTTTCCACTCCCAAGTGTAGCTTCTGCAGCTCTTAGCTTTCTGGCTGCTTCTCCACCTGGAGACAGTCGCAGCACCTATCATTTGCCGCAAGACCAAAGTTAGGTGGGAAGATGGCTCTCTGAAGACACTGAGGGAGCGGTGGGAGGGGGTGGGGAGAAGGCCCGCTGTCTTCCTCCAGCTTCTGGGAGGCTTACTTCTTGGCATGTCTAAGCTTAAATATCCAAAAGGGTAGGTTTCCTGCGGCCATGCTGTAGCCATTAACATCTAGCCTCAGGCTTTCTGTGGTTCCTGAGCAAGATCACAGGGCTGACACAGGACCTCTTTCTTATCTGCCACCCTATATGAAGCAGGCTCCTGCCTCTCTCAGCATGGAATCCAAGGCTCTGACTCTTGTCATCTGACTTTTAGCCATCTGGATCAGGGAGAGCTTTGTGGGGCTGAGGTGCTGAGGTGCTGAGGTGCTGAGGTGCTGTGGGCTGGTGTGTGCATTGTGTTCTGTGCTCCAGGGGGTGGTCCCCTGGGGGATGTGAAGATTAGCCAGAGTGCTGGGGTTGTTGGGATTCCTGGGATAGCAGGAGTGGGAGGGTGGTGATGCCCTTGACGGTCCCTGACACCAGGGATGGGACACTTCCCTTGTCTTGGTTGAGAACTCTTCCTTCTCAGTGAGGCTGGGTGACAGGTACCAGCTGAGGAGAGGGGGCTCCCAACTACTGCAGAGCCATGGCCTGCCCTGTGCACGTGTCTCCTCAGAAAGCCCCCAATCCTTGGTCCTGCAGGCCCTGACCTTCATCATCTTCATTTGCTTCACGGCCTCCATCTCCGCCTACATGGCTGCAGCGCTGCTAGAGTTCTTCATCACACTGGCCTTCCTCTTCCTCTATGCCACTCAATACTACCAGCGCTTCGATAGGCTTAACTGGCCTTGTCTGGTGAGGAACACTGCCTCTCCCATCCCACCCTGGCCTCTTCCAACTCTCTGATTGCTCAACATTCCTGTTGTCTCATGCCTCCCCTTTATTTCCACAACTGTGCCTTGACTCGTGCTGTGTCCTGCGCTCAGAACTGAACTTTGGCCCATAAGAGCACCCCTGTCAAGGAGGACATACAGACCTTAGCCCTGCTCCCCCACACACCTTAAAGGCCTAGCTCAGTCCTGCTCCATTTGGCTGTGCTAACTGCTGTCCCCTCCCACTCCTGGCTGATCTAGATTTATCTGCTTCCATCCTCTGGGTAGGGTTGTGAGCTCACTCCCTTGAAAGTACTTGTGCCTGGGGACACCCCTGGGCAGGAATTCAATCTCTGAAGACCAGACAGGGAAAGCTGACTAGCTTTTCAGGTAGTGACACTCCCCAACTCCCCATTGCCTGTGGCTCCCCAGGACTTCCTCCGCTGTGTCAGTGCCATCATCATCTTCCTGGTGGTGTCCTTTGCTGCTGTGACCTCGAGGGAGGGAGCTGCCATTGCTGCTTTTGTGAGTCCACCCCTGTGGTGCTCTCCAGCCCTCAGGACTTGTGGCTGGTATTGGCACACTTCCTGTGTCCAAAGCAAAGCCTATGCCTGCTCACATATCATTCCCCCACTTCTTCCGGGCCCACTCCCTACTCCCCTCATCTGACAGCTTCTACTATGCCACCTGAATTCCTTTTTTCCCCACAGGTATTTGGCATCATCCTGGTCTCTGTCTTTGCCTATGATGCGTTCAAGATCTACCGAACTGAGTTGATGCCCAGGGCCAGCGAGGGTGAGTGTCTGTGCCCTGCCAGGAGATGCCCCTACCTCTGGCCCCAGATGCTGCAGGCATACATGGTTTTCCTCCTGGCCACCTTTCCACAGGGGACCAGCAGTGATTCCAGGGTTACCTGGCTCCCACGACCAGACACAGGACTCACAGAGCCCATATTTGTCGTCTTTGAATTCACTGAACCTCCAAGTGTCCATCACCTACTCCCTGTCTTCAGAGATGTGTGCGTGAGAAGTTTCGGGGGTTGGGGTAGGTTTCTGTGCTTCCAAGTCATTCCCAAATTAAAAAAAAAAAAAATTCAAATCCTCCTGATGGGTCTTCTTCTTTCTTAGAATTTATACAGATCAGGAAGCCAAAGAGTTATTTGTGGAACCATAATCCAGAAAGCCAAGATCCCTCTGTGGGGTGAGGGAATGAGGGTTAGATTGAAGAAACTGGAGACATGCTTGAAAGGGAAAGCTTTACATATGCCTGAGCCTGACATATCAGAGGAATGTGAGATTGCCAAAATGCTATGTGCCAGGCTGCTTGGGAGTGAGATGTCTAGGCTTTCCTGACCCTACCAACAGCCAGCACACAGTAGCTTGGGCTACGGGCCTTTCTCTGGGCTTTGTGTAGGGCTCCCCCTTGTGGTATGAGGACAGCTGGGTGGCAGACCATCTTAGGAACCATCTTAGGAGAAATTCCTAAAATACCATCACCTGAAACAAAAGCCATTAGCTATGAGCTGGTCACGTGCCCTCATTCTGCACAAAAGAACACTGAGGCTTAGTTACGGGGATGTGATCTCTTTACTTATGGCAGAGCTGAGTCTAGAACACTGTGACCTTGAAACAGAACTGTCTTGATCTACATACTGTTCTAAGTCCTTTTGAAGCTCTGAAAACAGGGTCCCATCCCTTGGCCAGTAGACCCACCTTCCCAGCTTGCTACTTTCTTGGAACACATTTCCTGAGTGTTTCCTGTCTGCAGAGCCCATGCTTGGCACCAGAGCTTTAGAGGTAACAGTTGTGCAAATCGGCTTGGAAAGATGTTTGGAACAGAACTGCCTGGTCGGTGATAGTCTAGTGTAGGCAATAGGTCCCTAACTGGCTGGAGGAACCCATCATGGTTCCTATACGGTCCCATTCCAGCTGACTTCTTGGCCCCTCTCTTCAATGCTTTGTTCTTCTCCCAAAATGCCTTTTTCCTTTCGGGAAGAGCCTTTCAGCCAAGGGTTCTGCCCTCAAGCCCTGCCTGTGCCCTGGATCTTGAACCTGGGGTGGTGCCATGCTTCCCTGTGAGGACTGCTGTTCTCTTGAGTAGATGTTTCCTGCCTCCTCTTTCCTGTCTTCCTATCTCTGTGTTCTGGTATCTCATCATACCTGGCAGCTGCTCCAAGGAATGGGCCGACTGGGCTTTGGGTTTCCTTGGACTCTGTTCATGGTTCTCGGGTTTTCTGCACAGTCTTCCCTGAGTCTAGCTCACTGCCCTTGATCAGGAGGATGGAGGTAGGATGGGCATAGTCTCAGAGGACAGATGGAAAAGGCTGGGCTAGGGAAGCAGGGAGAAGAGCATAGGTGAAAGCATAAGAACGTTGCCCAAATGCCCAGAGCCTCCTCTGGGGTTTGCTTTCTAGCAGATCTCAGCTCCGTCCCCCCAAGTAGCTGTGTGTATAGTTCTACAAGGAGGAGAGAGAGAAAGACAGAGACAGAGGGAGGGATAGAGGGAGGGAAGGAGGGAGGGAGGGAGGGAGAGACTTGTGCCCAGCTGTGGATCTGTACATGCACCTATGCATTATGTCTGCGTGAAGGACTGTCCCTAACTGGGCTATACCCCATACTGATTTGGGCTCAGCATCACCTGGTCTCTGAGTCCTGGGATGTCCTCATGGTGAGACCTGATTCACAGAGGCTAGGACAGATGTTGGGGTAGGAAGCTTTGGGCTCCACCTAAGGAGCTAGTAGAGTGGGATCTCAGCTGTTTCCTGTGTGTGCTTCTATCCCAGCAGGGCAGAGCCTCTTTTGGCATCAGTGGAAGTTCATTTTGGAAAGAACCCGTGGCTCCAGGGCAACTTTAATTTCTGCCAGCTCAGAGGAGGCGTGGTGGAGGGCGGCTTCCACATCAGCACCAAACTTCCGTCCCCTGTGTTTGAACTGGCCTGCCCTTTCAGTGTCTCTGTTCTTTCTACTCTTTGAGAGTTTGTTGTCTTCTTGGTTTTGCCCAGGCTGGCTTTGAACTTGCTTTCGAGCTGAGGCTGCCTCTTGCCTCCACTTCCCTCCCATAAGTACTGCTGAGATTATAGGCTTGGGCCAATATACCTGGATTCGTTTCTCCCACTTTTGAAAAATTTTTCCCTCTTTTACTTGTGCGATTGACCAAATAGAGCTGGGACCACAGCTGTGTTGCCTGAGGTAGGATACCTCACTTCTCTCTTGGTCTCTTGCTTCACATATGTGGGCAGCTTTGGTACCCACAGCTCTGATACGGAGGCTGTGGCCACCCTCCTGTTGGGCCACTGAAAATTCCCACCTCAGATGGACAGCAGGCAGGAAGAACAGAGGGCACAGGAGAGTCAAACATTTACGTTTATTGGGGGTTAACAGCAGTGAGGCTCTGCAGGCACCATCATTCCTCATCGTGGATTTTTTGCTGAGAAGGGAATAAAAGGCATGAGGGCAATGGGCCAGATGGTCTGGGGAGGAACCCCTAGAGATTTCAGTGGCTTTAGATGGCCATGGAAAGAGAAGAGTTAAACCACAGGAGTCCTGAAGTCTCATGATGGGAGGTGATTATATACAGAATGCAGATCTGGGGCTGCTGTGAGTGGGAGAGTGGATTCTCAGGTCATATGTATCTGTGGGGCCCTCAGGTTATACATGTTGCTAATTCTACACACGTCTAAATGCATGTGGGATGCACACGCAGCCATTCAGAGCATCATGCATGCAGGGGCACCCTGGAGAGGGCACGGCTAGCAGTTCCAGGGGAGGAACCCACCTTGGCACCAATGTCCCGGCTCTTGGCCCGCAGCTTGTTGACCTGGGACTCAGCGATGTCCGCCCTCTCCTCTGCCTCATCCAGCTCATGCTGCACCTTGCGGAACTTGGACAGGTTGGTGTTGGCCTGCTCCTCCTGTGAGCAGACAGAGCGGGTGGAAGGATGGGGTGAGAAGAGCCCCGGGCAGGGCTCCCAGATTCTCATGTCCCTCTCCCTGAGCCACTGTTCACCCCATTTGTGCCACAGCCCTGCCAGGGTTGGCCTGCTTGGTACTCTCCTCAAACTTATTGAAGGTCCTTCGTGGCCACCCCCTGCCGGGAATGAACCCGTGCTGCCTGGCAGGCTCCCTCGGAGTCCAGATTTGCTGCATCTATTCCAGTTGGGCCTCAGACAGGTGCCTGCAGACTTGGGGTTTTTCTGAACAGCTGTGCGCAACCACACCACACCCACATGGATCTGTCTACCCAGCTGTCTTCTCTTTCGCCCTGTGGCTAGTCAGATTCCTTTCCAGGCCCAGTTCTCCTGGCCCCTTGCTGTCCTCGGCAGCTCCTGCTCCTGTTCTGTCTTGCATCTCTCCTCCCTCCCTAGATCTTATGGTTCGTGAACTGAAAGCAACTAGTGGGCAGGTGCAGCACTGAGTTTTAGAACTTAGGGTGCTAGAGGCTCCTCCGATAGCACTAGACATGCAGAACGTCTGATCTGACCCTTGTCTCGGCCTCGCTGTGGTGAATATTCATTGGCTCTCACTAGTAGCTGTCTTGATAGAAGAGGGAGAGAAAACTCAGCTCACCGCCTCCTCAGCCTGCCGCTTGTAGGCCTTCACCTTCAGCTGCAGCTTGTCCACCAGGTCCTGCAGCCTCATCAGGTTCTTCTTGTCTTCCTCTGTCTGGAGGTGGGAGGTAAGGGGCAGAAAGCCAGTGTTCGGGAGAGGAGCAAGTGTGATCATCCTTCCCTCCTCCCTCATTCTATTATTCTCCCCGGGCCTTGGCTGCCTCTCCCTCCAGTTACTCAGGTCAAGGGGGTGCTGCCTCTCTTTGTAGGCCAAAGGCATTTCAGTCAAAGGGACCCACAAATTAATGAGTGTTGGGGTGCTGGAAGTGAGGGGAGGTTCTCAGAGTTGTGGGGAGCTTCTTAATATGGTCATGTGGAGACATAAGGTTTGCCTGGCCTCTGTCTAGCGAGTAGAGTTCCCCTTGCAGGCACATGGGTACTTTTGGGCAAAAGAGGGGAAGAGAGAGAGAGAGAGAGAGAGAGAGAGAGAGAGAGAAGGGGCTGGAGAGATGGCCCAGCTGTTAAGAGCACTGTCTGCTCTTCCAGAGGACCTGGGTTCAATTCCCAGCACCCTACATGACAGCTCATAGCTGTCTGTAGTTCCAGTTCAATGGATCTGATACCCTCATGCCAATGCACTCAAAATAAAATCAAATAAATTTTTAAAAAAGAAAGAAAGCTGGCATTACCACCACCGTCTAGATTACTCTAACATAGTCCAGTATTCTGGCACATTCTCCTGAACCAGAATTTGGGCAGCAGGGTCAGTGACTCCAGTGCCCCTTCGTCATTCCTGTCTCCATGGCATTTGGTGTTCTAGGATGCCTTTGTACTTTTGTCCACAGTAGGTCTGCAATCTCTACCCAAGGCCTCCTCTTAAATGGCCCAACTGGCTTATCTCCTTAGTCATCTCTTCCCAGACACTAACAACAGCAGGTCAATGGCTAATCTCAGCTATGCAGATGGAGGTCTCAGACATTCTGAGATGGTGCCCCAAGGCCTTGGCTTCCCTTAGTTGTCCTGGAAGTTCCACAAATCTCCTTTTTCTCCTATGCACTAACTCTTGTTCCTTAAAGTGTCACGTGGCATTTCTTCATGTCTGACTGGCAGAGGGTAGAGAGATTCTTTAGACTATTCCGAAGCTTTCATTACAACAACGCTTTGAAATACTGAAACATCTGGGGAATGGTGAATAAAATAGCTTTGGGGAAGTGGGCGTGTCCATTTACTGCAAAAATTCATGAGCTCAAGCTGAATAGCCTCCAGAACCTGTCAGAGAAACTGCAGCTAGCATCTAAAGGTGCAGGAGAGAAGTGGTGTCTGGCATTAGTGAGTGACGGCACAGGCCGGCAGCGCTCTGTTGGAGGTGGGCTCGTAAAGCCATTACTCCGTCCTGATATG